TCTGGTCCCGAACCGAAAGTATAAAAGTGTTTGCATCTGTGGATATTTGTATTTGCATGTTTTTATATTAAAGGTACAGTAAACGATTCAGGTAAGATGGTTAAGGTTAGGGTTAAGGTGGTCTGAGTAAGATGGTTAAGGTTAGGGTGAAGGTGGTCTGAGTAAGATGGTTAAGGTTAGGGTTAAGGTGGTCTGAGTAAGATGGTTAAGGTTAGGGTTAAGGTGGTCTGAGTAAGATGGTTAAGGTTAGGGTTAAGGTGGGTCTGAGTAAGATGGTTAAGGTTAGGGTTAAGGCGGGTTGGGGTTATTCTATGGGAATGGCTGGTTAGTTTAGGCATGAATCTATTAGCTTAGGTAGTTGGTCATATTTACTTAAGTCCCGATTCCGTATATGATCTAGTGCCGACCCAGGTGAGACCCATGAGGGCGGGGCAAGTCATCATACAACAGGAGGTATAACTAAACCAACAGGGATTTAAACAGATTACAAAATAAAACAGGAAATAAACTAGAAAATTGGTTTTCTTGTTAAAATGACCTATGCATGAAGTATACCATAGTAGCTCACAGTCCCCTGACACCAATGCTGCATATTAATACTTTAACCTCTCTGTTTTTAACCACCCAAGGCCCAAAAGCCAAATGCAGCCCACAGCTAATTTTCAGTTTTAGCAGCAAATCTTCAGTGTCAGGGGCCATTGAAATGTTGCTGGTGGGCCGGATTTGGCTCGTGGGCCTCGGGTTTGTAACCTGTGGTTTAAATCCCCGGCAAACCAGATCTACACACAGAATATACCGGTGACAAGAGGTGTGTGTGCTGCTGGTGCCTGTACCATGGGGCATTCTACACCAAGCACAGAGTATATGGATTAAGTTGATTCTATAAATAACTGGTTTCTGTTTAAAAATGTGGGTGAAGATAATCTGCAGCAGGTTATTGTTCAGAAAAATAACACACAAAAATGGAATAAGAATAAAACCGCAGCCGCTTCATCTTAAGAGCAAGACTCATGTTGTAAAAGATGTTTATAAAAGATAGAACCAGGACCAAGAGGGACTAAAGAAGGACCTGGTTCTGGTCCCACAGGACCAAGAGGGACTAAAGAAGGACCTGGTTCTGGTCCCACAGGACCAGGGGACTCCCACACTGTCTCCATTTACAACAAGCAGTAAATGCAAGAACAAACTGAGGCCAGAATTTAATCAATATTTGCATTGATTTGGAAAAATCTACTACTACATGGAGATTATTACTCTACTCTACTCTGCTCTAGAGTCTAGTAGCGTAGAGTAGAGTCCAGTAGAGTAAGTAAGTAAGTAAGTAAGTAATCTTTATTTATATACCGCCTTTCACAGACCAGAGTCACAAAGCGGTTTACAATTGTTATTATTTTTGGGCATTGGTCCACTCACTCCACACAGAGATGGGAGCGGGGTCGCCATCTAGTAGAGTCTAGTAGAGTAGAGTAGAGTCTAGTAGAGTAGAGTCCAGTAGAGTAGAGTAGAGTAGAGTCCAGTAGAGTAGAGTATAGTCCAGTAGAGTAGAGTAGAGTCCAGTAGAGTAGAGTAGAGTAGAGTCCAGTAGAGTAGAGTAGAGTCCAGTAGAGTAGAGTAGAGTCCAGTAGAGTAGAGTAGAGTAGAGGCTATCGATACCTTGTAATGTGGTATATGTTGTATATTATCTGTTCTATGTTATATGGTATGTGTTGTGTGTTGTGTGTTATGGTTTATTGCACCCACGCTCTGCTCTGTACTAATGACAAATTGCGTTACACACACACACACACACACACACACACTTTTCTCCAATCCGTGCTCATTATTTTTGACAAATTCTCTCAGTGTCGCAGCCGTAACTACATCACACACAATGATCCCAGCTGGTTTCCCTCCAGCGCTGAACGGAGGCCTGTGATTGGCTGTGGGCTCGGCCTGTGATGCATGTGCTTCCTGTGGCTGCGAGGCTTTACATTGATTCAGGCAGATTTCTAAAGAGATTTTTGTAAGAGCATTTGCGGAGGATTAGGGCGCTCCTGAAAGCTTTTGGTGCAGCTATTTAACCCGAGCCGAGGCGGTGATATCTGCACTTCTCCTCAGACTCATCCCAAACAAGCTGAACAAACCAAGGCCAGATTATTTGTGTAGCGCAGTTCATATACATCTATTTTTATTGTACACAGGGTTATACTTGGTTCTTTATTTAGTTAAAGTTAGAGATTTTATTATGTTTTCAAAGTTTAGGATTGTGCCAACCATTCACACACTCACACCAGACTCATTCTAATGTGGGGGAAGTGTCTTGCCTAAGGACACAACCACACTTTGGGACGTGACAGCAGCACAAAAAACAAGACAGAAATATTAAATAGGTTTATTAAAAAGAGTAAAAAGTAAATCCTTCAGTTGTTGCAGAAACTAAACTGTTTTAACCTGGATTTGAACAACATGAGGTCTGACAGGTCTGTGAGGTCTGTGAGGTCTGACAGGTCTGTGAGGTCTGTGAGGTCTGTGAGGTCTGTGAGGTCTGTGAGGTCTGTGAGGTCTGGGAGGTCTGTGAGGTCTGTGAGGTCTGTGAGGTCTGTGAGGTCTGTGAGGTCTGTGAGGTCTGGGAGGTCTGTGAGGTCTGTGAGGTCTGTGAGGTCTGTGAGGTCTGTGAGGTCTGGGAGGTCTGACAGGTCTGGGAGGTCTGTGAGGTCTGGGAGGTCTGTGAGGTCTGTGAGGTCTGTGAGGTCTGGGAGGTCTGTGAGGTCTGTGAGGTCTGGGAGGTCTGACAGGTCTGTGAGGTCTGGGAGGTCTGTGAGGTCTGTGAGGTCTGTGAGGTCTGTGAGGTCTGTGAGGTCTGTGAGGTCTGTGAGGTCTGGGAGGTCTGTGAGGTCTGTGAGGTCTGGGAGGTCTGACAGGTCTGTGAGGTCCATCAGGCACCTTCTGATGTGATTAATACTAAAACTCCCAGAACAGTCAATTTGACGGCTTTTTGTTAAGTGCAATAATAACTCAGCACAGGTACATTTATCTTCATAGGTTTGTGACTGGTTCTGAATCTAAATGTATTTTGTTTCAAAATGATTTCAAAGTGTATTTTTATGATTTTTTTTTAGAAACCAGAACGTTCTGTGGTCCTTAAAGGTTTATAGGAAAGAACCGCCCACTTTTGGAAAAACTCTCTGCTCTCATTGGACGAGCACGTATCACAAGAATGGTTGACAATTAGGAGGACCAATAGTCTTGATGATCAACCTGGAAGTAGAAAGACTTCCTATAAACCTTTAAATGCTTGTAAAGGTGTTGGTCCAGAGCTGGTTTTAACAACAATAAAAAATAATAATAATAATGCATTAGTTTTATACAGTGCTTTTCTGTCTTCATAACATTATTCATTCTCTCCAAACACGGTGGTGATAAAGTACTACTATAGCCACAGCTGCCCTGGGGCACACTGACAGAAGCAAGGCAACCGGTCTGTGCCATAGGCCCCTCCCACCACCACCAACACACACACACCAGACTCATTCTAATGTGGGGGAAGTGTCTTGCCTAAGGACACAACCACAGTTTGGCACTTCACAGCCGCAGTCACCCCACTGTGCCACCTGCTGTTCCCAGAGGTCTCCCATCACAGCACTAACCAGGTCCTGCCCTGCATAGCTTCAGATCTCTGACAGCATTTGGCTTTTGCATGTTAGGCCACAATGAAGTTACATTCTCCAGTTTTGAGAATGAGACGACAAAGGTCCACAACTTTTGAAAAATTGTTTTTAACTTTAGGGCACATTATAAATATTTATACACACTGCATTTAGAGAAAAATTGTTTTTTAGGGATTTTTCCAGAATTCAATCGATAAAAAAACTGCTCAGAGAGTCTATTAGTTTGAGAATTCCGGGAGTTCTAGTGTTTAAGAGCTGGATCCAATCACAGACAATATTATCTCACAATATTATCTTCTCACAATATTATCTTCTTATTATTCTTATTTTCAGATTGTTACTTTATTGTTATTTTTATTGTGGAATACCATAAACGCTACGATGACAACGCACTTTCCCTGTGGAGCAAAAAGTCTGTGTGTGAGAGTTGACCGTGTGATAGATTGCCCATGTGTGTGTGTGCAGAGGTCCAGGGCCTGCAGTGCTATGGCTGCAACATCCTCCAGGGCCAGAAGTACGTGGACGTGGGCTGTTCCAGTCCCGAGGTCATCACCTGCACCCACTCCCACAAGGGCTTCAAACACCGCTTCTGCATCAAGACCGAGAGCAGTGAGTAACGCTCCGGCTTTGGCCTTTGGCTTCTTCACAAAACAACGGAAGTATTTGTGGCAGAGGAGAATATGCAGTCAGTGTCATGCTGCTGGACACGGGGAAAATATGAATCAAATAACTCTGGTTCTGTGCGAGATGCTACTGGGGTTTTTCAAATATACTCAATGTATTTGTCCATTCATCCATTTTCTTCCCCTTAATCCATTTCTGGGTGTGGGGGGTGGCAGTCAGAGCTACACACAATTCACAAAGCACCAGCAGTGTGTATTTCTGTGTTTCCCTAAACCATTACAGCGCTCAGGGCTACACTTATTTAGGGCTATACAAGAATAAATTATATTGTAAATTATATTATACAGACATTGGTCTCCGAGGATTTTACAACATTGTGGATTGGACCAAAACAGATCAGAAAGGCTGTAGGCCCAGGACTGAGGCGGTAGATCCAGGACTGAGGCTGTAGAGCCAGGCCTGAGGCTGTAGACCCAGGACTAAGGCTGTAGATCCAGGACTGAGGCTGTAGATCCAGGACTGAGGCTGTAGACCCAGGACTGAGGCGGTAGATCCAGGACTGAGGCTGTAGCGTCTAGACCCAGCACTGAGGCTGTAGACCCAGGACTGAAGCTGTAAATCCAGGACTGAGGCTGTAGACCCAGGACTGAGGCTGAGACTGTAGACCCAGGACTAAGGCTATAGATCCAGGACTGAGGCTGTAGACCCAGGACTGACCCAGGGTACTGGGAACAGCAGGTGCCTCAGTGAGGCGGCTGCGTCTGTATAGTGCCAAATTGTGGTTGTGTCCTTAGACTGTGTCATTAGACTGAGTCTGGTGTGTGTGTGAATGGTTGGTGGTGATGGGAGGGGCCGACGGCACATATTGGTTGCCTCGCTTCTGTGTGCCCCAGGGCAGCTGTGGCTACAGTAGCAGTTTTTCCACCTCTTAGGAGTGAATTAATATTGACATTTGAAGTGTCTTTGAGTGTGCAGAAGAAACCAATTAAAACCAACGCATTATTGTATAAAAAACTCCGGGTGTGTATAGAAGAACAAAAAAACATAGTAATTTATTCGTTTTTGGACTTGTACCTAAACACTAGCACTCCCACAAAACCATGAAATAACTTCCAGAGAATTTTGACAGCTCTCATTCAAACCAACAGAATTCATTCACAGTAGTTCATTAGGGTTTTACCTTTAATACTGTAAGCAAATGTGCTAGAACTAGTGACTAAAGCGGTTTGTTAAAATGCTAATGCTAAAGACCTATTGCTAACTTCATGTAAACGGCGTGTTGCTATGGTAACCAGCACTCGCTCTCCTCCGGTAGAAAACCAGACTGAACCTAAACCCAAACCAAACCAGTCCAGATCCAGGACATTAAACAAATGAAAAACCTGTTGGTCAGAGTGGGGTTTATAATCACTGTGGCTCTGAGCAGTTTATTTTCTATATTTTTATTTATTAGTTTATTTAAATACACATTAATCAACATTGCTGTAAATGTGTCAGCTAGTTTCCAACTGTAGTCCCAGAGGCAAGGTGTAAAATGCCATCAAAATACATTTATACATTTCATGACACTTTGAAGTAACTGTGGTTAAAGTTCTAACTCATCATTCTAACATTATGCACAAGGCCGTACTTTTCCACTGCATGTTTTGATTTCTAAAGGCCAAATCTACTGACACTGAGGCTATAGCTGATTGGACCGCTGCATATTATCACTTGCATTCTGTAACATCTTCTCTACCATCAACAATAAAACATGTCTTCTGTCTGAATTAAAGACATCCCAGACTTTGTCATCTTCTTCATACAAACATTACAATAAAATAATGAGTTAAAACAGATAATTAAAACGTATACACATAAAACACAAAAGCAAACACATGGTGAGTGGTTTATGTACAGAGGTCTTCTGTGTCAGGCCAACGTCAGCTGTATTTTTCAGCTGTTGGTGCACCGTGTTCCGTGTCTTCAGATCACTCTAATGTCTTCCCCGTTACGCAGACTTAGTATTTGTTGCTTACTCCTGCTTCTTTTTCTTGCTGAGTCCGACATCAACTCGTCACTCTCTCTTCTCTGATGGATGGTTTCTCCTCTTGTCCTTTCCAGCGGCTCTGGGCATTGTCCTGACCAGTGGATGTGCCACTTCCAGACACTGCCAGCAGCAAGAGCTCCCAGGTGTGAGGATCCACTGCTGTGACTCGGACCTGTGCAACAGCGCCCCCCCCTGGCCGCGGAGCACATTGCACCTGGTCTACGCTCTCCTCTGCCTGCTGCTGATCGGTGGATGGTTGTGATCCCAGTCTATGGTCGTGATGGACAAAGTATTTTAACATATCCTGGGCACAACACGGCAGCCTGACTGGGACTTTTAACTGTTTATGAATACAATTATAATGTACAGTTTTGTGTGGTCAAATCTAATGTTTTTTCAAAATGTTTTTTTCTCAGGAAGGGGTGTAGTGCCCTGGCACTTTAGTATTGATTACTTTTGCTGTTAGCTTTGCTTTTATTTGAAATGATTTGAAATAGTTTGTGCGAGATAATTTATGGATTTTCAATGTTTTTAAGTGCATTGGGTTTTCTCCATGACTACAGTATCCCTGCGAGACAATTAAGCACACCTGTACATAAACCATAGATGTATAACAGGAGTGGGACATCACCATCGTGTTAGCCTTACTGTGGAAAAAGCCGATTTAAACATGAGCTAGCGACAGCCATTTTCCTTGTATTGGCAATTCTTCCACTGCATTAGCTTAACGGGAGCAGACGTGTTGCTAAGACGGTTGCTAAGTTAAGCTGAAGTTTCCCCCGCCAATGAAGGCCTCTGATTGGTCAGTCCTTACATGGCTCATATCTGTGTTTACAAAGACACAATCACATGTAAACACAGGATCACAGATTTTTAAGACCAAAATGATGAGTGTCACATGTGAGTCCACAGGAGCCAGAGTTAGAGCCAAACTTCATCCATGAGCACTTCCCTGTTGGTCTAACTTGCGGGTTAACACTGCCCATCTGTATGCAGTCTGTGGTTTAGTGCAGTTAGGCAAGGCAAATTTGAAAACAGCTTATAGTCCATGAAAGTACGGTCTATATAAAGAAATGAATAAATGAAATACAATAACATAGTTTAGGGAAGGTTCATCTTGTCTTATTAGTATTCAGTTTTCAATGAGAGAGCTACTTTTATACAACAGAAGAGGCAGAGAGCTACTGTCATAATGAAAGTCTTTGTTATAATAATGACAAAAAATTGAAAAAAGGTGTAAAAATACCATAATACAGTGTTACCCAATATTTATACTTATAAGGAACATGTAAGGACATAAAAGTGAATCGTTTAAGATCATGTGTTAAATTCTAAATCCTTTGCCTGCAGGGGCTGGCGAGCTATGGTAGCTCCTGAGCCACAGGCTGGAAACCCCAGACGTAGATCGATAAACTCATTACTGTTTTTTTAATGATATTCTATTATTTTTGGCGACACGAATGATCAGGATTTTAGCTTTAAGTTGTTTACATTTGTTGTACTTCTGGCTTTGCATGAGTTTAGTAAAAGACCACGGAAAAAATTGAAGTTTTAGATATAAATTGTACGGTTGATTTAATGCAACATTATCTTGAAGGTCTCACATTATGCTTTCTGACTTTTCTCTGCTTTAATTAAACATCATTCCAGTGGTTTTTTCATTGATTCCTTTAAGCTTAAGTAGAGTTTGAACATGTGACATCACCTCTTTGGTGTTGAGTGTTTGTGCATCACATTATCACACATGAAGAAGAGCGACACATGGGACCTTTAATGTGTGGCTTAGAGTCTGGTTTCATCCAACACTAAAATAAAGTCAGGTAGAGCTGTGGCCAAGAACCAGACCTCACAGCAAAGGCCCTCTTCATCACCTGAAGATGATGCAGACCCTTTTCATCCTCTTCATCACCTGAAGATGATGCAGACCCTCTTCATCACCTGCACAGGTGCTGGTGCAGACCCTCTTCATCACCTGAAGATGATGCAGACCCTCTTAATCCTCTTCATCACCTGAAGATGATGCAGGCCCTCTTCATCTTCTTCATCACCTGAAGATGATGCAGACCCTCTTAATCCTCTTCATCACCTGAAGATGATGCAGGCCCTCTTAATCCTCTTCATCACCTGAAGATGATGCAGACCCTCTTAATCCTCTTCATCACCTGAAGATGATGCAGGCCCTCTTCATCTTCTTCATCACCTGAAGATGATGCAGACCCTTTTCATCCTCTTCATCACCTGCACAGGTGCAGATGCAGACCCTCTTCATCACCTGCACAGGTGCTGCTGCAGACCCTCTTCTTCCTCTTCATCACCTGCACAGGTGCTGGTGCAGACCCTCTTCATCACCTGCACAGGTGCTGCTGCAGACCCTCTTCCTCCTCTTCATCACCTGCACAGGTGATGTTGCAGACCCTCTTCCTCCTCTTCATCACCTGCACAGGTGCTGGTGCAGACCCTCTTCCTCGCGGTCTTTGTGCAGACCTGCAGACCCATTGTGCTCAGTGGAGGAAACCCTGTGCCTGGAGCAGCCATCTTGGAAGAACAGATCACTTGATCCGGAGGTAAACTGCTTTTCTGCAGCTGAACGTTACTGACACCGAACGGTTCTGATCTGGTGAGTACTGTCTGCCTGGTCATGCATCTGAACATGGACACCGAGGGCCATGGCTTAATCCTATTATTGGGCTAATGGCATGTATTAGTTCACTACATGTCAGCTAGCTGCTAGGCTAACCGTGTTAGCCTAATAGCTTTACATAACAGACGTTATCTAAACCATTTATATTTTAGACTCGGGGCCATGACGCGTTGTTTCCATGGGTTGTTTATTACCACATTTAAAGGCTCAAACGCAGACCTGTTGTGATGTAATAATGTAGTCAGAATCTGATGCTAATCCGAGCCTGATGCTAAAGCTATCGGCAGATGATCAGGAGCTTTGTCAATAACCTCTGAACAAACATTTACCTCCAACACGGGTTCTTCTGTCACGAAAACACAAATGTAGTTAAGTTGTTAACCTGGAGAGTCTGATTTGCTAACAGCTAACTGCTAAGGCCTGTTTTTCACCAGAGACATCATTATTATGTTAGATTCAGAAACACTGCAGAATCCTGAGGAAAACTCACTGTTGACAGATGTGATGTTAAACTACAGCTGTAGCTTTAAAAACGATCTGTGTATTTATATTGATATTATTATGCTATTGCGCCATGCTTAGCTATAATTTGCTTCTGTCTTATTGGTGATTTAGAGATCAGTTATTGTTACTGTTATCTTTATCAACACGGGAGAAATATAAGATATGAACCTATGTCAAGCTGTCTTCTTTCATTCATACTGAATAATAGTACTAAAGTCATTCAGATTGAGCAGTACGTGTTACAGCTTATATGTAACTACACTAACGAAGGAACAGGGCATTGAACTAGCAACGACGTCACGTGACTTGGAATACTGGGGATTACTGCAAACCTAGACTTCTCAGGAGGACTGGCGTATTTACTCAGATATGTTGGTTTATCTAACAGTGAACTTCTGTTTAGTAAGCTTTCAGGTGTTCAGTGTGGCATGATCCATACGGAGAGCAGAGATGCCACATGAGGGTCAAGTGACAGGAAGTGAAGCCGTCCAAAGTAGTCATTTTCTGACTCATTTTGCTCTCCTTGTGATTGCGTATTTTATGCTGCTTTCAAGTGATCCCGGAAACTCTGAGATATATCTATGTAATCTCCCGACTTCCCAAAATCAGAGCGTTCATGAGAAGCTGGTGACACACACAGACACACACACAGACACAGACACAGACACACGCACACACTCAGACACACAGACACACACAGCAGTGACAACAACAACCTATGCTCTTGAGATATGAGAGATACCAGAGCAAAAGTGTAGTTCCTTTTAATGAAATAGTAGCATGTTGGTTTTCACTCTCACTTCTCAGCACAAACATCTTCAATTCCACTTAAAGACAGGGCCTGAGTTTGCATGTTCTCCCTGTGTCTAAGTAGGTCTCCTCTACCACTGAAACATGTATAATAGCTCCCCTCTCATTGGGACCAGAATCATTGGGACCAGTCCCCCCGGGTCTCGTCCCCCGGTCTCAATTAATTTGAATTTCCAAGATTTCACATGAAAGCAGCATTCGTTGCTGTGATGCTTCACAGTAACAGACAAAAATGGGGAGTAAACAAAGTCCTTCTGTCAGTTGGAATCGATGCTATTTACAATCGTCACCTCAGTATCAAACTTCTGCAGCATGTTTTCATTTCTCTGGGTCTGTCGTTATAAACTGTTGGAAACTCTACTCTTGTATAAGTCATTATTGCTTCAGTGAAGGAGGTGAATCAGATTATTTATTTATATATATCCCGACGGAGCATCAACATCTGGACATTAAAGTGCACATGAGTTTTGAGTCTGAAGGTTGTGAGTCCCACCATGAGACCGACTTCACTGACTCTCACTGTTGTGTCCTTTGGGCAAGACGCTTAACCCCACTTTGCCTGAAGCCCCCGATGAAAGATCAAGGCTATGCTCCTGTGGGTCGGGGGGGAAGAAAATAGATATGTGTATATAAATATATATGGATATATATCTATATCCATCTTAGTATTAAAACGGTCTATATTGGGAACTTGTTGTGTTTTAATATATTTTTCTTTTTTCCAGAGCCAAAATGGCCACCGCTCCATACAACTACTCCTACATTTTTAAATATATTATTATCGGTGAGTATCAAAACAACCGGTCAAATCAAACAAACTCTTTGTTCCTGATGAGACTTTCTTTCAGGCGACATGGGTGTTGGAAAGTCATGTCTGCTTCACCAGTTCACAGAAAAGAAATGTAAGTACTGACCCAGGACTGAGGCCGTAGACCCAGGACTGAGGCCGTAGACCCAGGACTGAGGCCGTAGACCCAGGACTGAGGCCGTAGACCCAGGACTGAGGCCGTAGACCCAGGACTGAGGCCGTAGACCCAGGACTGAGGCCGTAGACCCAGGACTGAGGATGTTCACTCATGTGTGACATCACTCTCTGTGTCAGTCATGGCCGACTGTCCTCACACCATCGGAGTGGAGTTTGGGACCAGGATCATCGAGGTGAGCGGACAGAAGATAAAGCTGCAGATCTGGGACACTGCGGGACAAGAGCGCTTCAGGGCCGTGACCCGATCCTACTACCGCGGGGCCGCAGGGGCCCTCATGGTCTATGACATCACCAGGTACTGCCACAGGGGCCCTCATGGTCTATGACATGGTCTATGATATCCCAGGCCAAAGGGTCCCCCCCCAGGCCAAAGGGCCACACTGGTCTGAGAGGGGACTCCGTGAGCTGTGATCCTAACTATGAATGTTTCAAAGGGTTATTCTGGGAAAGTGTGAAAGTTAAAGTTCTGTTGCCATAGTAACCAGCATCTGTCCTGTTTCCAGGAGAAGCACTTACAATCACCTCAGCAGCTGGTTAACGGACGCGAGAAACCTCACCAACCCCAACACTGTTAGTACTCGCACACGTTTTACTCTCTTTGGTCTCTGGTCTCTCTCTCTCTCTCTCTCTCTCTCTAACACAGCTGTGTTCTTCTTCAGGTGATTATTCTCATAGGAAACAAAGCCGACCTCGAGGCGCAGAGAGACGTCACGTATGAAGAAGCCAAGCAGTTTGCTGAAGAGAACGGTGCGTCCCTTCACTCCGACAGATGAAGACCCGCCTTCAGCTCTGGGGTCTTCAGCTCTCTCCTCCAGGGGCCGGTGTGGATGCAGGTTTTCACTCCAACCAAAGCAGGAGCACACCAGAGACTTTAGGAAATGGGAGGAGTCTGTTGTGCTCCTTATTTGTTGGAAAGAAAACCTGCACTTTCCCTTTTGAGGACCCAGGTTTCTCTGTCTGTTGCACTCTCTGATCTTTCGCTCTCTTTGGTTTCTCTCTCTACATTTCTGGTCGCTCTCTCTGGTCTCTTTCTTGGCTCTCTTTGGTCTCACTCTCTCCTATTGCTCTCGCTCTCTCCTAAATTTATCTATGTCCTAATTATCTCTCTGCTCTCTCTCTCTGTCTCAGGTCTCTCTCCGATCGCTCTCTCTCCTCTCTCTCAGGTCTCTCTCTTGCTCTCTCTCTTCCTCTCTCTCACTCTCTCAGGTCTCTCTCTCCTCTCTCTCTTCCTCTCTCTCCTCTCTCTCGCTCTCTCTTCCTCTCTCTCAGGTCTCTCTCTTGCTCTCTCTCCTCTCTCTCAGGTCTCTCTCTTGCTCTCTCAGGTGTCTCTCTTGCTCTCTCTTCCTCTCTTCCTCTCTCTCAGGTCTCTCTTGCTCTCTCTTCCTCTCTCGCAGGTCTCTCTCGCTCTCTCTCTCTGGTCTTACCTTTTTGGCTGAGTCCAGTCTTAACCTGGCGACTTGAGGAAATTAGTGGAGTCTTGTGAGCTACTTTTTGATTGTAAAGAAAACCTGCAGCTGCACTTTTAGGACCCAGTTTGACTCGTCTGCTTCACTTCAGTCCAACAGACAGAGCTCAAAAGGAGTCGACACAAGAAAAATACTCAAAAATATAATATATTTTAATCATTAGGCCCCTCTAGACACTCCAGGTCGCCTTTCATTACGAATAAAAAGTAAATTTAAATACGGTTAAAAACAGAGGATTGTGTCGTAAATAAAACATTCTGAGTCAGAGTTCTACATTTTGTGTTTTTTTGACGGAGCCTCTTCTTGTTCCTCAGGTCTATTATTCCTGGAAGCTAGTGCAAAAACGTGAGTTGATTTTTAGCTGCACAAATCTGTACCAAAAATCCAACGACACATTCATTCTCTTTCCTTCTTTCCAGCGGTGAAAACGTTGAGGACGCTTTCCTTGAGGCCGCAAAGAAAATCTACCAGAACATCCAGGACGGGAGCCTGGACCTGAACGCCGCAGAGTCAGGGGTGCAGCACAAGCCCTCCGCTCCACAGGGGGGCAGGCTAACCAGCGAACCACAACCTCAGAGAGAAGGCTGCGGCTGCTAATGACCGAGCCTCCCCCCGCTGTCCTGTCTCCCCCATCCACCCCCCCCACGGCCCCGAGGGAGGATGGGGGAGCTCGGGGTGTGGACTGCGTCTGTCGTCTCAGTGTTTGGCTCCTGAGTTTGTTTGTCTCTGTGTCCCCCCCCCCCCTCCTCTTCATCATCATCATCATCATCGTCGTCATCTTTACCACAGGTTACTGAGACTTGGATAAAACCGCATGTAACTACGGCAACGCTCTCGGATTCCCCAACTCCTCACTGCTTTGTGTTCCGCGATCATGGTTCAGGAGTCTATCCCGGCGAGAAAGCGTTTTTTTTTTTTTTTGAAACACTAGGACTCCCAGGATTCCCCAACTCCCTTCAAATCTACTCTTTTAAATTTATTCCACATGATTTTACCTTTTGAATATGTGTTAAAAATGGGTAAAACTACGTGAAATTCAGTGCTGTCTGTTGAAATACTAAATGCTACGTGCTAGCTGGTAAAGGGTGCGTTGGTATGGTGACCAGCACTTGCTCTTCTCCGGTGAAAAAACAAACTGGTTCGAGACCAGTATCTTGGAATTGGGGTTAAAACGGATCACATAAAAGTAGATCAATTTCTAAACAATAAATGGCAGTGAAAAAGTGGGTTCTGAAGAAGGTACCAAGTGTCCCTGGGTGTTCTAGTGTCCAAAACATGTCGTACATTTCATACATTTTTATTTATTTGTTTGTGACTTTTCTCCGTCTCAATGAAGTTTCAAGTTTCTGTTCTGAACCGGCTCCAGGTTCCGTTTCTGAGACTGTCCATTTTTATCTGTTTTTAATAATAAAAGTCATGATGCGGCACCGTTTTAGATCCTGGGAACTGGCTAAAAATGTGATGATCCGATAGTTCTGCGATATTTGGGCCACAATTCAAAACTATTGCGATACTAACTAAACATATCGCGATACAGTTTGGTGATTCGATTCTACGATACATCGCGATTCTTCTTAGACAAAATCAAACATCAGCTTAAAGTTTTTTCAGCACTAGTAGACACTGGACAGCAAACCCCAGAGCTCTCCCCAAAGTCATATCAACTCATGTTTGTTGCCTTATTATTCCTGTAATCTCATTTTCTGCATTTTTTCAACATTCTCTAAATCAACTAAACAGTGATTCATACTAATTTTCTTAGATCAGATGAAATGCACGGTACTTGTCGGACTATAAAGCACATCTGTATTCAGTCTCATGGTTTTGATGTATTTCAGTAAAAATGCTTTGGTTTTATACAGAGCTTTTGTGGACACTGAGGCTTTGTCCATAACATTAAAACTCCTTTAAATCATAATATATCCAGTTATCACAATCTGGTCTCTCTCATCTCTTCTAGTCCCTCTCTCCTCTCTCTGGAGACCCCTCTTATTTCTCGTCTTGTTTCTCTGGTATCTCCCTAGTCCCTCTCTCGAATCCTCTAGTCTCTCCCTTTAGTCCCCCTCTCATCTCTTGTCTCTCTCTGGTCTCTCCCTCTTTGGTATCCCCCTAGACTTTCTCTCTAGTCTCTCCCCCTAGACTTTCTCTCTAGTCTCCCCCCCCTAGTCCCTCTCAGATCTCTCCCTCTATTTTCTATCTTGTCTCTTTGGTATCTCCCGAGTCCCTCTCTCTGGTCTCCCTCTCATCTCCTCTTGTCTCTCCCTAGTCCCTCTCATCTCTCTGGTCTCTCCCTCTATTTCCTATCTGGTCTCTAGTCCCTCTCCCCTCTTTAATAGTTTTCTCTGCTGCTCCATAGGCTTTGGTCTACTACACTACCCCATGAGGCTTATACTCCAGTGCGGCCTATACATTGACAAATAGCACTTTCTCTCCCCATTCGGCCGGTTGCAGTTCACACAGATGTGCACGATAGTCCAACAAGTACTGAACATAAGCGAGCCCCTCCTCCCCCCTCCCCCCAGAAGTGAGAAGCTGCATGAGGTTCTCTCCGAATACTGTGGGACAGATCCGGTTCTGGCTGGTTTCTCCTCGTACCGACACCTCGCAGCATGTCCAGCCTCGACACTGTTCAGACTTTGCTTCAACCTTTGAATACTTTCTTTTCTGTATTATAAGTGACTCTCCAAATACGCCGCTGTATATATCGCTGATTAACAACTACAAAAAGACCTTGCTACTTTGGGAGTTTAGGGACAATATTTGCCAAGACCTGTACAGTTGATGTGATAGTGGGTTGCCTGTTATTCATGCTTGGGACAATTCTGTAAAATAGTTTCTATAAATGTATGTAAACTGATGTAAACTGGACACTTGCCCTAAAAATGTTATTTGAAAACCTGGAGATGGACTGGTTTAATGTTTGATCCCTGCCGTCCCCGCACCAGAGACCCTACACTTGTCCGTCTTAATTTCTGGTGAGAGGGGATTGGTTTAATCATGACGGACGCTGGTGGGCGGAGTCTTTCCCCTTTTTCCCACTTTTTTGCAGTTGTTGACCACTTCCTGCTTTTGTCTGTTCACAAAAGTAAATATGTATAAATTTTTAAGAAGCTGTGCTAACATTGAAATGCATTCTTGCGTGTGTACATGATTTAAAAAAATGTTGACTTTTGATTTTAATGATGAAATATTCTAGACAGAAAAATAAATTATACATAACCTGTTTCACGGTGGATTTCATGTGAGCACAACAAGGTTAAGGTTTGAACGTTTTAATGCAACAACAATTGCACCGATGCTGGAGAGAAACATATTTACAGGTTATTTACAACAGTGGTTTGGCCAGAAGAGAAAACACAATGTACCATGTGTGACGGCTGGAGACAGATCCCACTTGGTCTGAGAGCTCCATTGTTCAGGCACAAAACATTTAAGGTCAGAGGCGTCAAACTGGGTTCCAGAAAAGGGCCGGTGTGGCTGTAGGTTTTCACTCCAACCAAGCAGGAGCACAGCAGACTCCACCCATTTCCTCAGGTCTCCACTTTAGCCCAAACCCTCTGCTGCCAACTTGTACAGATGTGAACAAAACTATTTCTTGCAAGTTTTATTTTGGTATAGAAGGACTAATAAAGGATCTGTTAAGACTGGACTCAGTGGAGGAAATGGGTGGAGTCTGCTGCTGCACGGTTGGAGTGAAAACCTGCTCCACACCAGCTCTTTGAGGACTGGTTTGACAGCCCTGACTCAGATCAAGTGGCAGTTCTTTAAAGCAATACTTTAGTAATGATTCTGCACTATTGACATTGTGTTAAGAATAAACATTTACTGTCGGCCTCAGGGAAGAGGCGCGTGACACTAAGTCCTGCTCAAACTGCATAGAAAACACCCTGGTCCCTCTCCACTGGAGAAATGCTTTTGGTAACAACACATTTATATGGAACACCTACTTCCACATAAACATGTGATTAAGGCACAGTGCCACAGGTCCATCTCCACACTCCAACGAGAGCTATTTCATCTTATTTCTAGAGCTGTTTCTTTATTTCCTCATTCCAAGGAAGACATTTCTGTATCTTTTAAAACAAGATCAATTTGTGTTGTTCCATTGGAAAGCAGTCAAAATGTGCTTCAAATTAAAATACATTTTGCCAAATTCAAGCAATTTTGGACTTATTTTTCATCACGCTTTGCAGTCTTTAGCATCATGACATTGTTCAAATGGAAAACAGGACTTTTGAGGCGCAGAAGAACTTGTGTATTGTCAGATAAAGAAACCGCCTCGATAAACGACGCTAAAAACGCTCTGACGATTTGCATTGAACGTGACGATTGCGTTATGGCGGCGAAGCAGGTTCTCTTTGTGACCTCCATCGTTACCACAGGCTTCAGTCTCAGAGCGTGAAGCGAGACACGGCTCCGGTGAGTTCAGGTTTTTTGACGCTACCTCCGAACAATGTCACTGATCTCTTTGACGGACGAAAGCAGCCTGTGGAAGTCCTGCTGTGCGTTGGCGCCCGGGGACGTGGGGCAGATCTGCAGCTCTCGCAGGCTGCTCTCCAGTTTGTTGATGGCCTCTCGGAACGCAAACTTGTTCCTCATTTGCTGAATGGAGTCCACAAAGCCGGTGCAGAACTTGGACAGGTTCTTCCCGGCCTCCAACACGGCGCTGTGGCTCCCCGTCTGCTCCGAGTTGCGGCCGATGGCGACTCGCAGCAGCTCGGTCCCTTCCAGAACCATCTCCCGCGTCACGGCCGAGCTCGGGGTGCGCTCGGCCGAGGAGCGCGGGGCCGTCTTACGCAGTGACCGCCGCGTGTCCACCAGAGGAATGAACGCCGGGGCCAAAGTCTGCTCTCCGGGAGAAACAAGAGAAGAAGAGAAACCCCCGAGGCTCTGGCTGGAGAGAGAGGACGTGACTGAGTTCGCCGAGCTGGACGTCTTCAGTGGTTTGGTGCTCAGGGAATGCTTCTTGCAGCCGTCGGCAGAGGGCGGCCGCGGCTGATCCGTGGTCGGTGGTTGTGGTTCAGGCGTGGAACAGACTTTGCCTTTGGACTCTGAGGGAGAGGGCGGCTCCTGAGTGGGACTCCGCGACACTTTTTTGGGGTTAGTGGGAGGAGGTGGAGGCGCTGGTTTGGGTTTTTGAAACTTATTCCGTCTCGCTCTGCACTCGTCGCCCGCCGCTCCTAAAGCTGGAAACGCGTTTGTTTTCAGTAACTCGGCGTGAAGAGCGCTGGTTTTCGAGTTCTCCACTCCAGGACCAGGTCTTCGCACCATCTTCGGGGTTAGCGCCTGAGGACTGGACCCTGGACTGGGACTCTTATCCGTGTCTTTGAAGAACTCGTCAGGGCCCTCCTCCGACTTCTTGGGCAGACGCGGCGGCGGAGTGAGGGTGCCTCGGCGTGGGCGGGGCTCGCTCTTCTGCTCGCTCGCCCGCTTCAGCGGCAACGCCGGTCGGACAGAGTGCACGCTGCGGTGGCCCAGGTCTCGAGGCAGAGTCAGAGACCGCCACTCGGACCGGTCGGTTCCGGTGGGGAGGCTGGACAACCACAAGAAGCGCTTGGACGTGGTCAGCTCCTCTTCGCTCGTGGGTGTCGTCGCCATCTTGGATCCTGGCGTTGTTGGGTTGTACTTCTTCCTCGGGAACGCGGGTCCGGGATACGTGGGGGCTCCGTTAACGACCCCCACTGCTCCGTTGTTAGCATGAGGGGCCCCGTTGTTCTCAGGGGCCTCTCGCAGCTCCACCGTGAGGCCCCGGCGTTCAGGCGCAGCCTCTTCTCTGAACGAGGACCAGCGTTTTGGCGGCGCCGGAGCGTTCTTCTTCTTCTTCTTGATGAGACTCAGGAAACCACTGCCGCGAGTCTTGTCTTTGTCCTTTGGCAGCAGGCGCTCGTCCTCGTTCAGGTTACTGTCCAGGAGGGGGCGCTCTTTCCTCGGCAGCATCGGCGACGACACCACTCCCTCAGACTCCAGGAAATCTGACACGACAGAAAAATATGTTTTACACGACAGTGATTTAGTTTTTACAGCGACAGTTTTTACAGCGACAGTTTTTACAGCGTATGTTCCATCGACATCATCGTCTGACATGACAGTTATCTGTATCGTCAGAGGAAAACGTTTGTATCTATCTGGTCTCTCTCTCTCCCTCTCTCTCTCTGCTGTCTCTCCCTCTCTCTCTCTGTTGTCGGTCTTTCGGTCTCTCTCTCTCTCTCCCCCTGGTCTCTCCCTCTCTCTCCGGTCTCTCTCTCGTGTTAAAACTCACCAGAAGTGTCGTCTCGGTCCACGTTCTTCCTCAGAGTTCTGGTTTTTGTGGGCAGCTCTGGAGCCTGTTGGACGGAGCCCAGAGTCACCTTTTTACCCTTTTTCTCCAACTCTTTCTCCACCTCTGAAAACAATAAACATGAATCACAACGTTATCTGCACGGTCACAACCAGACTCTCTTACATCTGTCACAGACAATAACACTGACTCTGGACCAATACATACAGTACAAAGCAAAAGGAGCTACTTTGAAGAACCAGAAAATAACACATATTTTCACTTGTCAAACTTTTGGTCTGTACAGTATGTCTTCACTTTGATTTCTGCAGTCAGAGATGGTCCATCACACTAAAGTCTCCTAAAGTCAGGGATTAGAACCTCACCGTCAGAGATGCTCGACTCCTGGAACATCGTCTCAAACGCTTGATGAGCTTCAGCGAAGGTCGGGCGCTCAGACGGACTCCACCTCCAACCTGAGAGTCACGACACAGAACTGTCTCTGTCTCTGTCCATGAATTTACTTCAATTCAACTTAGCTTTCAACAATTCAACTCTCTCTGGTCTCTCTCTGGTCTCTCTCTGGTCTCTCTCTGGTCTCTCTCTGGTCTCTCTCTGGTCTCTCTCTGGTCTCTCTCTGGTCTCTCTCTGGTCTCTCTCTGGTCTCTCTCTGGTCCGCGGTGTCACACTCACAGTCTCTCATGAGTTCGTAGACCTTCTCGGGGCAGCCTTCGGGTCGGTCCATCCTGTAGTCCTTCTCCAGCAGCTCATAAACCTGCGACAAGTCGATGCCCGGATACGGAGACATCCCGTAGGTGGCGATCTCCCACAGCAACACCCCGAACGCTACGAGCAAAAGACACACTTTAGACATTTGTATTGTTGCCCTGAGACACTTCCTCCCTCCCTCCCTCCCCCATCTCTTTCTCTCTGGTCTCTCCCCCTCTCTCACTCTGGTCACCATTTAGGTAGTTTTCATGTATATTCTTATTGTTGCGATCTGAGACTCTCTCTGTCTCCCTTTGTCTCTCTACCTGTGGTCTCCTCCTCTCTTTAGTCTCCCTCTGGTCTCCTCTGTTTAGTCTTCCTCTGGTCTTCTCCTCTCTTTAGTCTCCCTCTGGTCTCCTCCTCTCTTTAGTCTCCCTCTGGCCTCTCCCTCTGGCCTCTCTCTCTGGTCTCACTCTCTGGTCTCACTCTCTGGTCTCACTCTCTGGTCTCACTCTCTGGTCTCACTCTCTGGTCTCACTCTCTGGTCTCTCTCTCTGGTCTCACTCTCTGGTCTCACTCTCTGGTCTCACTCTCTGGTCTCACTCTCTGGTCTCACTCTCTGGTCTCACTCTCTGGTCTCACTCTCTGGTCTCACTCTCTGGTCTCACTCTCTGGTCTCACTCTCTGGTCTCACTCTCTGGTCTCACTCTCTGGTCTCACTCTCTGGTCTCACTCTCTGGTCTCACTCTCTGGTCTCACTCTCTGGTCTCACTCTCTGGTCTCACTCTCTGGTCTCACTCTCTGGTCTCACTCTCTGGTCTCACTCTCTGGTCTCACTCTCTGGTCTCACTCTCTGGTCTCACTCTCTGGTCTCACTCTCTGGTCTCACTCTCTGGTCTCACTCTCTGGTCTCACTCTCTGGTCTCACTCTCTGGTCTCACTCTCTGGTCTCACTCTCTGGTCTCACTCTCTGGTCTCACTCTCTGGTCTCACTCTCTGGTCTCACTCTCTGGTCTCACTCTCCGGTCTCACTCTCCGGTCTCTCTCTCCGGTCTCTCCCTCTGGTTTCTCTGGTTCTCACCCCACACGTCAGACTTGATGGAGAACTTGTTGTAGGCCAGGCTCTCGGGGGCGGTCCACTTGATGGGGAACTTGGCCCCAGCGTGTGCCGTGTAGGTGTCTCCCGTCATCAATCTGCTCAAACCGAAGTCCGCAACTTTCACCAAATGATTCTCTCCCACAAGACAGTTCCGAGCCGCGAGGTCCCTGCAACGAGGAGAGAGACAAGGCAAGGCTTTATAGGAATCTGTACATGTGTAAATACAAAGGTCGATTTATGGTTTCTCTCGCTCTCTCTGGTCGCTCCAGTCTCTCTCTCTCCCTTGTCTCTCTCTCCCTTGTCTCTCTCTCTGGTATCTCTCTCTCCCTAGTCTTTCTCTCTCTGGAATCTCTCTCTCCCCTGTCCCACTTGCCAGTCTCTCTCTCTGGTCTCTGTTTTTGCTCGCTCTTTGCTCGCTCTCTCTGGTCTCTCTCTCTCTCTGATCTCTCTTTTTGCTCGCTCTCTCTCTGGTCTCTATCTCTCTGGGCTGTCTCTCTCTCAGGTACTTTGTGGGTTATTTTGAGAACACATCCCCCCGTGATGAAGCCACCTGTGGATGAAGTTTTTCTTTTCCAGATATTCCATGGCGGAGGAGATCTGCGTGGCCATGTGGAGGAGCACCACGGCGTTCACTTCCTCCCTGTTGCACTCTCTCAGATAGTCCAGCAGATTACCGTGGGTCATGAACTCTGTTATGATGTAAAACGGGGGCTCTCTCGTGCAAACACCTGCAGAACAATACAGAAGTCAAGACTACAGTGTCAAAGAGTCACCACCGGAGGGAAGCACTCTTACTTTAGCTCAACTTATTTGGCTCTCTGGTTTCTCCCTCTCTCTCATCTCTCCCTCTCTTTGATATATCCCTCTGCCCTCTCTCTCTCCCTCTCTGCTCTCTCTCTGGTCTCTCACTCTCTCTGGTCTCTCCCTCTCTCTGGTCTCTCCCTCTCTCTGGTCTCTCCCTCTCTCTGGTCTCTCCCTCTCTCTGGTCTCTCCCTCTCTCTGGTCTCTCTGCCCTCTCTCTCTCTGATACTCTCTCTTGTGCATCTAAGCCACAGTAGATTAAACTAATACAGTTATGTCCAAGCTAAGGCCTGATGGACAGTTGCAGCCCTCTGGCAAAGCGAGGCAAATTTATTTGTATAACACAGTTCAAAGGGCTGAACTAAATAAAAAAAATGAGCAGAAATCTTACCGAGGAGTTGGACCAGATTGGGGTGTTTGATTTCCTTCATCACAGCAGCTTCCTTGAGAAACTCCTCGACTTCCATCGTGTCCTCCTGGTTTAAGACATGGAGCCGTTACAATACTGCAGTGCCACTGAGTCACCACCAGAGGGCAGCACTCAAGTGATTTGGTTCTGGACTGTTGTAGAAGAACCAAATAACTCTCTCTCAGGTCTGTTTCTCTCCCATTCTCTCTCGTCTCTCTCTCCCTCACTCTTGGGTCTCTCTTCTGGCTCTCACTGGTTTCCCACTCTCTCTTGTGTGTCTTGTGTCTCTTCTCTCTCTCTCGTTTCTCTCTCCCTCTCTCCCACTCACTCTTGTGTCTCTCTCTCGTGTCTCTCCCCCTCCCTCTGGTATCTCTCTCCCCCTCCCTCTTGTCTCTCTCTCGTGTCTCTCCCCCTCCCTCTTGTCTCTCTCTCTCTCTCGTGTCTCTCCCCCTCTCTCTTGTATCTCTCTCGTTCGTGTCTCTCCCCCTCCCTCTTGTGTCTCTCTCTCTCTCGTGTCTCTCTCTCTCTCTCTCTCTCGTGTCTCTCCCCCTCTCTTGTATCTCTCTCTCTCTCTCGTGTCTCTCCCCCTCCCTCTTGTGTCTCTCTCTCTCTCGTGTCTCTCGCCCTCTCTCTTGTATCTCTCTCTCGTCTCTCCTCCTCCCTCTGGTGTCTCTCTCTGTCTCGTGTCTCTCCCCTTCAGAATCCTACCATTGCCAGTGTAATTAAGTTATTTGTATTCTCTATACCAGAAAGAGCAGAGAAACCCCCCGGAGCCTTCACCTTCAGCGTCTTGACGGCGACAGTGAGGTTGTACTTCTTCCACACGCCCTCGTACACCTCGCCGTACTGGCCGCCTCCCAGTTTGTGCTTCATGGTAATGTCAGTGCGCTCGATCTCCCACTTGTCGTAGTTGGGGGAGACGCCGTAGATGGTGGGTTTGTTCCTCTTGGGGGCGGGATAGTGCAGCGTCGTGATCAGACCATCTGCGATCGTGGAGTGATGGTGCACCAGCTCTGCCAGAGTGTTGAAGCGACTCTCCGAAGACACATACAGCTGTGGAGAGACCAGGACGACACATGAGGAGACCAGGAAGGACACATACATCATCGGTCTCATCAGTGACAATGATGAATCCTCTTATAGAGCAGAGATACAAAATGTGGTTCAGTGGAGTAAAGCTAACAACCTCCAGCTGAACGCATCCAAAACATGTGAACTGGTCTTTGACTTTAGCCGTAACAGTTCTCACACTCCTGTTGCTATCGACAACTCCCAGGTGCAGATCGTAGAGGAGTGCAAGTTTCTGGGTCTAACTCTGTCTAACGACCCTGAAATGGGTTAAAAACACTGACCGAGTCGTTAAGAAAGCTCGTCAGCGTCTCTACTTCCTGCGAAAACATAGAGAATTTACCACTAACTCCAAGATTCTGCTTAACTTTAACGCTGCACCATTGAGAGTTTACTGTGTGGTTTGGAAACATCACAGATAAAGAAAAGAGAGCTTTAAACAAGGTGCTCCGCTCTGCAAAGAGGACCGTGGGCTGTGAGCTTCCTGTTCTGGAGGTTCTTTATAAATCCAGACTTCTTAATAGAGCTCAAAGAATTGTCAATGACTCTTCTGGCCACCCTGGAAAAGCCTTGTTCCAGCTTCTTCCCTCTGGCAGAAGATATCGCTCTCTGAGATGCAGGACATCTCGTTACGCTAACAGTTTTTTTCCACAAGCTGTTATCAGTGTGAACAGAGCACTTTAATGATTTGCACTTGTTTTGAAACTGTTTTTAGCCGATCGATTTCACAGTGACATTTGTTTACTGTTTTATTTGTTTTATTTTTGTCTTTTAATGTTGTTTAATGTCTGTATTTGTCTGTGCACACTGGAGACTTTTTGCTAATGTATTCCAATGTGGTGTTTTTACTGCAAATGGCAAATAAACTGAACTGAACTGATCCAGCTGTGGAGAGACCAGGACGAGACATGAGGATACCAGGAAGGACACATACAGCTGTGGAGAGACCAGGAAGACCTCTGTGTGTGTCTGTGTCTCTGTTTGTGTCTCTCTGTCTGTGTTTTGATGTGTGTCTATGTTTGTGTCTCTGTGTCTTAGTGTTTGTGTGTCTCTGTCTTTGTGTGTGTCTTTGTGTGTGTCTTTGTGTGTGTCTCTCTCTGTGTGTGTCTCTGTGTGTGTGTTGCATGCCATGCCCGCTCAGTCTGCCTGTGTTTATGTGTGTACATATTTGGCTGCATCTGTTGGTGCTTATGCGGGTCTTCGATGTCAGTGTGAGCCACTTGTCTGCTGCTGGTCCTGGTGTCCGGGTGTAAGACAGATGCACTCTTGTCATACCCCACATACCTCAGTCCCACAGACGCCCTGTAACACAATTCTTTTCAAATCTGTTTTACAACATACGTCGAGAGATGGCCAAAATATAGAACTGTTTTACTTACTAGAGGTGGCAAGTAACTAAGTATTGTTAAAGTATAGAAGTATAGAAGAAATAGTATCCATTACTTTTGGCCATAAGGTGGGACTTTTTCATAATTTCAAGTTTTAGAATGTGAAATAATATCTTCAGCAGAAAATATATCTGGAAGTAACCATGAAGTGTGAGCAATGTTTTGTAAATTTCTCCAGTGAGAGATCAATAAAGTGATTCTTATCTTTTCTTAATGCCATCGGCCTGATGTGTCCCTGTGCTGCCACTAGGGGGAGGTGTAGAATGTTTTTTTTTCTCCTGAATTGAAAATCACCAGTTGCAGCTACAGACACATGATTGCAAGGGACGTAATTATTACTTGAATGTATACTCTGCTTTACTCAACTCTCCTGCCCTTCTATCCAGGTCGGTAGGTTACCAGGACCAGGACGGTACCAGTGACTAAAGCGACTAAAACACACATCAAACACATCACCAAAACCTCCTTCTTCCACCTCCACAACATTGCCCGCCTCCGCCCCTCCCTTACCCAGTCAACAGCTGAAATCCTCATCCACGCATTCATCACCTCCAGACTCGACTACTGCAACCTCCTCTACGCCACCTCTCATCTCCAAAAACTGCAATACATCCAGAACTCTGCAGCCCGCCTCCAGAGAACACATCACCCCTGTCCTCCAGCAGCTCCACTGGCTCCCGTTCAATACCGCATCCAGTACAAGCTCCTCCTCCTCACCTACAAGTCCCTCCATAACCTGGCCCCGCCCCCTTCCTTACTGCGCTCCTACAACAGCACCAACCCACCCGCCGCCTTCGCTCAGCCGAATCCAACCTCCTCACTCCCATCACCCGCACTCACCTCCTCACTCCCATCACCCGCACTAACCGCCTTTTCCGTAAACCCCATTTCTATTTTATTGTATTTTTTTCCCCATTTGAAGCGTCTTTGAGTGTCCAAAAAAGCTCTATACAAGTTTGACGTATTATTATTATTATTATAATTAAAGCGTAATGGAAACGCAACCATGTGGGATAGGGTAGGGCCGATATTGACCGCATAATATTGATTGAGCTAACAGTGTGTGGCTCTGAACCAAAGAAATTCAGGATATTTTGTGCAAAAGACGCTGGAAAATCTTATGTGAAAACCTGTAAATATGTTTAGTTTGTTGGCATTAGTTGTACACTGGTCAACCATACATCGGACCATAGCCCAGGGGTGTCAAACCGGTGCCAGAAAGGACTGTGTGGCTGCAGGTTTTCATTCCAACCGAGCAGGAGCACACCAGACTCCACTCCTTTCATTATGTGAGTCCAGTCTGGACCTGGAGCTGAGTCTGGTCCTGCTGCCACATGGTCCTGTCTGACACCAGTGGGTACCAAAAAGCTGAATACCTTTCCGTCTGACGCGGTGTTGATCCGGTAGTGGTAGACCCGCCCCTCGTATCTCAGAGAAATGGAGCGCTGGCCTGGACTGCTCTCGCTTTCTCGCACCAGGAAGCTCCCGTTGATCCCGGAGCTCAGCAGGTATTCGGCGGCGTTACGCGAGACTGGGCCGTGGTACCAGCTGTGCTTCTCCAGGCTGTTGACCGGAGTGATGTAGTTGGACGGCACCCAGCCCTGGCCGTTCTTAGTCTGAGCCTCGCACCACTCGCCATTGTGGTTGTATCCGAGTACGCGGAGCTTCTCACCTGGTCAACCATAAGACAATGTGTGAGAATATATGAGACCTGGTTAGAATCGTCACCATTATCGAAGACTATATGAGTAGGACTGTCATGGCAGACTTTCATGTGTATGTGATAAATACAGGCCATGATTCAAAAGTAATGAAATGTCTTACTGTGACAGAACATAGTTAGCTTTAAAGGGGCAGTAAGCGATTATGTTAGCTTAGCCGTAGCACCAACTCTAAAGCACTCCACCCTCCCCTCCCCTCCCCTCTCCACCAAACCACTCCCCCCTCCCCTCCCTCTCCACCAAACCACTCCCCCTCCCCTCCCTCTCCACTAGACCAAACATCCAGCATTTTCTTTTCTTTACCACAACAGGTAGAGTGGAGCAAATGTGAAATTGGCATATTCTGTTCAGACATTTTAGGTTTTAGAAAATCCGATAACTCCGGTGCACTCGCGAGAAACAGGAAGAGGGTGAACGAATCCCATTGGTTTATTTTCCAAAAAACTCAAAAAATATTTTTCAATTAAATTTACTATTTGAAAACACGTAATTACAAGACTATTTTTAGGGTTTAGGGGCTTTTTCCCACAATATTTAAAAAACTGCGTCTGGAAAAAAAATCACTGACTGCATCTTTAAGGCGGAAGAGACTGATTTGAAAATAAGATAGCTGGAGCAAATATGTTTTTAAGAGCATTAGTTTTGACGTTTGCTTCTCACTGTTGCTGAGACGATTTCGAAGGCAAGAAAATGAAATCAGATGCCACGTCCGATTGTGACATAGAACAATAAACCAACGACAATATCAAAATCAACACATGCCGTCGAGGCCCCACATGGTTGAAACGTGGAGCTAGTCCCTGTTCATGAAAGGATTTTAATGTACGGCCAAAAGACTCGGATAGACTTGCTTTTCTTAAAATGATTTTCTTGTATTTTTGTTTTTCTTACATCTATTTCGCTGTTTCTGTCGCCTTGTGAAATCTTGAGGACCCCTTTGAAAGTGAGGTGATTTATCTCAAGGGGCTTATCCTCTAAATAAATAAATAAACAAACATTCGGGTCAAAGAGAGTGGAGACTCCTGAGGCGTTCCCAGGCCGGCTGAGAGACACAGAGCCTCTTTCTTAACTCATGTTTAATCATGTGTTTTATTAAATTACATTGTCTCCTTTGAAATAAACTGAAACTGAGTCCTGGGTCTTCCCCTGGTGGAACATGCCCCAGAACATGCCTCATGGACTTCATGCCTCCATGGAATTCCAAACAGATGAGCCACTGAATCCTCTCCATGTGGAGACGCAGTGGCTCTACTCAGAGCTCCTCCTAAGTGACCATCTCGATCTAAAAGGGAGCTCCTCTCTGTAAAGGACCCTCATGTGGACGCTTGTATCCACCATCTCGTCCTTTTGGTCATTTCCCAAAGCTGATGACCAGAGGTGAGGGAGGGGACATAGGCTAAGCTGTTAATTGAAAGCTCTGACTGCAGACGCTGCTCCCTCTTCAGTACAACAGAGTGATGGTTTGTTGAAGCCGACAGCACAACATCCTCCGTTTCCGTGTCCCAAACCAGACGGCAGCCTGACATCTGCTTGTATTGTTTTAAGATAATCTGAGGCGGTTATCACTCCTAATGTGGACATCGTGCTCTTCCTTCTTTTGTGTGTTTTTACATCAGTGTTGTTTGCAGCTGGTTCAGTGGAAAAACTCAGGAGGTGCGTCAATATCAGGAGACGAGGCAGAGTCAGAATCAAGCCAGAAGTCCTTTATAACAGATGTGTACTCCTTTTATCTCTGTATTTTATACTGCAAATGTGCACATATACATATATACGTTACACCTTTTATCAGACCAGGGAAAAGAGCAGGGACAAAACCAGGGTCAAGACTCAATGAAGGCTTGTAACTTAATCTGTGCTACTACAGCATGTAATAGATTTATTCTGTTTTAAGTCACAAACCCCAAAATTAGATTAGATTCAACTGTATAGCCATTACAAAGACAGAACAATGCGACGACATGCAGTTTACGTCTAAACTGAAGTGAAATTAGGTCCAACCCTCCACAATATATCCCGAAAATCCAAATGTGCCTCCTGTGTTTTTGCAGTGATCTTATTGAAGCCAAATATAAGATCAATAAGGTTTGGTCTTATCTTAAAGCTGGACAAACCAAGAGTGAAACGTACCTTTAGTGATGCTGAGGGTGTTGTCGCCGCTGGCCACAAAGTCGTAGAGTGCGACGAAGAGGTTGGGGTCATTCTCACTGGGACCAGCCAAAAGGTTTTCTTTAGAGTTCCAGCGGGCGGCTTCGGTCAGACACTGGCCTTCGAAGTCTGGTTTCTGAAGGGCTTCTGCAAGGACGCACAAATCAGAAAGACTTTTATTTAGCAAAAGGAAAAAAAAACAGCTTGCAGACGTCGCGCTTTTGCTATGTACTGGGATAAGAGGTCTTTCTCTGGTGTCTCTCTCTCTCCTGTCCCTCTCTCTGTCTCACTCTCTCCTGTCCCACTCTCTCCTGTCCCTCTCTCCTGTCTCTCTCTCCTGTCCCCCTCTCTACTGTCTCTCTCCTGTCTCTCTCCTGTCCCTTTCTCTCCTGTCCCTTTTTCTCCCGCCCTCCTGTCTCTCTCCAGTCTCCTGCCCTCTGGTCTCTCTCCAGTCACTCCCCGGTCTCTCTCCTGTCCTCCGGTCTCCCGCCCTCCGGTCTCCCGCCCTCCGGTCTCCCGCCCTCCGGTCTCCCGCCCTCCGGTCTCCCGCCCTCCGGTCTCCCGCCCGCCGGTATCTCTCTAGCCTCTCTCTTCGGTCTCTCTCTCCCCGGTCTCTCCCTGATCTATAGGCACTGACTTTCCCATTCCAACACTCCACATCTTGGATGAATCAGCGACGTGTCAACTCCTTTTCTTGTGTCATTTACATTCTTTCATTTCCCTTCAATACCGTGGGCTGCCGGAGTCTACAATCAGCTGTTGCATTATTGCTCAAGACACAACCATGTGACCCCAGTTGGCTCACATTTTCATTTCCTGGATTATCCCGGGCTTAGTTTTCATTTTTGCAGAAGCTTTAACGACCCTGAGAATCGGCCCAAGCGAGGCACAGTCGCTTAAGGAAAAAAAGTGCTGCTAACCGGTCGTTACAGAAATGACAATCCTTTGTCAACAAACGCAACTTTTATAACTTTTTGCCAAAACAACACTGGTACATTTTGCAGGATTCCCAAAGCGAGCAGACAACTTCTGTAATATTAATGTAGGAGCGTTTTTAGCACTAACTGTTATCTCAGTAGCATTTGTCAGATGATGGTAAATGGTCATGTCAGAGTGAATAAACCACACGAAAACATAACAATACCTAAATTCTGTCTTTATTACTTGGTTAAAGTCATTACTTCAGGACCAGAATCCATTAAATCTGTTTGTGCAATAGATCTACTCACAGAGGACCACTTTTTATGCAAATCTATCATGCAATAAATTAGTCTACTCTAAAAAAAAAATGCCACACTTAAGCTTAAAGCAGCCAACATTCCTGACAAACTAGAGTTAAAAAGAGACAGCGTCATAAGTCATTCCCCTGTATTCTCTCTCCTGTCTTTTTCCAGCTCTTTCCTCTGCAGCTATAGCCACTGTGTCTGGCCCCTCACCCTCCCCCCTATCCATTTTCAACTTTCCACGGAGCACAAGTCATTGTTTAGACTTGGGGAAAGCTGGAAGTTAACACCTCCACGCATCAGGCATATTGGTTATGGCATGTGAAATATATATATACACAAACATACACTATATACAGTACATACAAGAGGATTACAGTAACATTGAGACATGAGCATTTCAATTCTATGTATCTGTGTATAGTGATAAAACAGTCATTTTAGCAGCCTTCACAAAGTTGTGGATCCGCTAATGCCAGATTAGAGAATCAAACGGCTGAAGCAGAGTAATACTTTACCTTCCAAGTAACAACTGGAGGAAGATGAGAGGCCTTTCTTTGATTTACACCCCACCAATTTCAGACAAATCTCCAACATTTTCATTTGCCTTCGAGATCCAACACGAGCAGATGTAAGTTCCGAAGCAGAAACAAGAATAAAAAGTCCTCAACGGTGCGTGGAAATGGCTGAAAGAATGTGTTGCGTCTTTATCCAGCTGTTGCAGAGCCTCCTCTCGACATGACTGTGAAACAAAAACCAGGCGCCGCAATCCCAGAAAAAGTCTACCAACTTTTACTTCCAAGCGACTCCATGTTTTCTTTTCGGTCTTCTGTTAAATCCTTAGTTCTGGCACAGGTAAGGAGGGTCCTGGAGGGTCAGTGCAGCGGGCATCGGGGAGCTTTGAACCCTGCCATTGCTCTTGTGTTCTGGGGGAAAGTAGAGGATCTCGGGGCTGACTCGTGCTGCCAACAAAGGGCCTCTTTCAGGATCAGTTTTCTGCACTCGGTGACATCAGCCAGGCCCTCCCACCTCCAGCCTCTCACCTCCCACCTCCAGCAGCTCACACACAACCAGGGCCAGAAGAATGCAAACACATGCTAGAGACGCGAGGCCAGCATGACGTCCTGAAATTGGGTTATTTTACAGAGGATTGCTCCACTTTTCATCAGAGTCAAAACATGAGGATTATTCAAACGACTTCAAGACATTAGTAAAGCACACTTCACACACAAGGCACATCAAAGGGATGAACAAAACAAGAAAGAAACAACTAAATTGCAGTAAAAAGATAAGAAGCCTGTCTCACATTTTCAGGAAGACTGTTCCAGATTTTAGCCCATGTTTAGTGGCCTGGTTAGTACTGTGGCAGGAAACACCAGGTAACACAGTGGGGCGGCTGCGGCTGTAATTGTTGTGTCTTCAACACAACAACCTAACCATGGGGCTAACAACAACAGTTTGTACATATTTGAGTGTGAATTAACAGCAAAGAAAGTAAAGAAAGGAAGAAACAAATAAAATTAAAGCCACAAGCGGCGTCGAACGGCCCTCGCCGCACCGCACGCACCACCCCGCACACCACCCCGCACCACCACTCCGCCCCACGCCGCCCTGCACCACGCCACCCTGCACCACGCCACCCTGCACCACGCCGCCCTGCACCACGCCGCCCTGCACCACGCCGCCCCAAGCGGATCTGCACCACGCCGCCCCAAGCCGCAACGAGCCGCTCCACAACCCCCCGCACTACGCCGCACCATGCAGCACCGTGCAAAGGAGGTGGGGCCGCCGTGTGATGATTTGTTGCTGTTGCCAAAGAAGAACGTTAGTCAAATTGTAATGAATGTGATGATTAGAGCTGTTTGGCACCCCATGTAAAACTTTGCCTCAATCTGTAGGGGGCGCTATTGGGCCAATTTCAAATATTTAACTTTCACCTGACCTAAACCCTGGAGTTGAACATTGGATTCAAGTTTTGTGCAAATCAGACTTTGTTTGTGCAAACGGGAGCAAAATTAATGTTGTGAAAAACGGTCAAAAAACACTCACATGTTACCGCTCCGCTGCTCATACAACGTTTCATTGATCAAAAATCCCTTTGGTCATTTTGAAGGTACATGTGTTGAGATTATCTGGAGCGATTTTGAGGCCAATCGGTGAAACGGCCGAGGAGGAGTCGCTTTCCAACCGACATGTATCAAAATGATTGCGGATCATTTTTCCATTTTGCAGTGAAATTTATGGGCCTCCTGTTTGTCAGAGGGCGGAGCCATGATAACATTTTGGTTGTATCTTGACTTGAGGAACATGTGTACCGAATTTCATGGCTCTACGACTAACTTGACCTCTGAAACTCCCATTGGCTGTTGTAGGTGGCGCATTTTTTGAGTCCCATAAAAATAAACACCAAAATATCACATTTTTCACCAGGTTGGGCAAAATTTTACAACTTTTCATGCATGTTCAGGGGGTGAAATTAAGGCTCAAAGTGCAGAATTTGACATCTCTCGGGCAAAAACAATAGGCCCTTTCCCCGTTCGGGGCTCGGGCCTAATAAGCAGTGGTTTCATACAACCAGGCTCAGGCCCCGTTTAGACGGAGACGCTACGGCAGTGAAACGCTATGGTTGGTTTCGATTGCAACCCCCCGTTCACATGGAGACTGTTCCAGGTGAAAACGTGAGAGTTCAGATCCAGCCTCAGAGTGGGACAGCTCAGATGCTCAGCAGGGGGCGCTCTTTCACACCCGCCTGAAGAAAAAGGTGTGAATTCTCTGCTGCTCTGACCACACCTCCCGCTGCTCCCCGCACGTACATTTGAACACACGTAAACAACAATGGCGGCGGGTAGTTAGCTAGCTACGTGTGCTTCGAGCGCTAACGGAGGAGGATTCTACTCCTTCGTTCGTCCAAACAAGACCACGCGAAGCTCTCGTTTCAGTTTCTATTTTCGCAGCTGCTGTTAAAGAATGATGTAAGTAAGTAAGTAAGTAAGTAAGCTTTTATTTATATACCGCCTTTTCACTGCACATCGGAGTCTCAAAGCGGTTTACAATTGTTATTTTTTTGGGAGTGGGGGTGCCAGTACAGGAGGCACATGCCATACCTATTGTACATATTTTTAGTGGTAGGGGAAACCGGAGCACCCGGAGGAAACCTACGCAGACACGGGGAGAACATGCAAACTCCACTCAGAAAGGCCCTGGTCCAACCGGGATTTGAACCCAGGACCTTCTTGCTGAGAGGCGAGAGTGCTATCCACTCAGCCACCGTGCCGCCCTGTTGGTTCTTTCATGTCTTGCAGAGGAAGTGAGTATACTGTGAGGGGGGGTTGTAAAGTTCCTCTGCCTCCTACTGGCTGGGCGCTAGAACTACATCGTTTTTCATCCTCGTATGAACACTGAAATTTGGCGAAGGAGCCTGGTCGTTTCTGCTAATAGCTTGGCAACATCTGTGCAGCGCCTCGAAATAAACACCAATATTTTCCCCTAAAATTTGGGAAAGCCCTTCTCTATACCTTTAAGTGACAGGTTTGAAAAATCCCTCAGACTGTGCAAAAGACAGAAGTGTGAAAATAAAACAAAATTAAAGCCGCAAGCGGCGTCGAACGGCCCTCACCGCACCGCGCGACCCCCCAAATTGTGCCGCACCATGCCTCCCCGCACTACACCGCCTCACACCACGCTGCCCCGCACCACGCTGCCCCGCACCACGCCGCCGCTCACAACGCCGCCTCACACCACACCGCCCTGCCCCAAGTTGCACCGCGTCACGCCGCCCCGCGCCACAACGGCCCGCACCACACCGCCCCGCACCACACCGCGCCATTATTTGGTCCCGTTGCAATTGAAGAATGTTTGTGAAATTGAAAGGAATATGATGAGTTGAGTAGGTTTGGCTTCCAATGTAAAACTTTGCCTCAGTCT